CCTCTTTATCTTTGGAGCCTCCCCATAAAATTCACATTTCCTGACACACAGCAGATGATTAATAATTAATTTTAACTGACTGGCTGATTTGTCATTGTGATCTCAGTCTTCTTTCCTAAAGGACCATTCCAAAATAATGTATCACTGACTTTGAACTTGCAGTACGGTCTTCTATTACACTTTGATCTGGAAAACCTGCAAACTGCAAGGCAATAGTTGTCCATATAAGAAGAAAAGCACACCCTTGTTCAAACTGTTCTTGATTTCATTCACTGAGTACCTTCATCAAATTGAATAGGCCTGTGCCCCAAATAATGTGTTTTTTCTGGAAACATCTCATTGTGCAAGTAACAGTTGCACATAACAGAAAAGCAATTCAAAACATCTTAAGTAAAAAGGAAATTTATTGGCTCATACAGTCGTTAAGCCCATGGGTGGAGATGTTTGCATTTAAGCCTGATTAAATCCAGAAGCTCAAACAATAATAGCAGCTTATCCATCTCTAGGATCTACTAAACATCTATTTGTTTTTTCATCTCTCTTCCTGTTGGCCCCATTCTCTCATGCCTTAGGATCTCAATGAAGGTCTGGCCTCTGTGCTTAGAGCCTACAAGCCTCAAGAAATAAACACACTATCTCCAGCATCTACTTTTGCAGTCCCAGTGCAAGCACACCGATTGACTCAGCTTATGTCATGTGACCATCCCTTAGCCTAATCGTTATAGATCAAATAGTAGAGTGCCATGGTTAGATAAACCACGATCCTATGTCCCCTACCTTCACTCCCCGGCCAGCCCTAACCAGATGGGATAAGAGTGGGGTAAAGCCTAACGGAAACTGACATGCTAGACCAAAGAAAGATTATCATTTATGTCAAGGTTCAAAGATTTCTCTGTAATAATAATAAATTGTTGTTTGGGCAAGACATGAAGTATTTAAAATTGGATACAAAGAAAAACAATGTTTGGTTTATCAAATAGGAAAAATATTGGTTACTTGGAGAGAGAGCAGTATTTCATCTTTAAAAAAAAAACTAGATTCAAATTTGGTAGAGAAAAGATATGAACTTATCAACATATTAGCTGTGGGTTGTAGGCAAATCATTTACCCTTTTTTTTGAAATGTTTATTTATTTTGAGGGAAAGAGAGTGAGGGAGAGGCAGAGAAAGGGAAAGAAAATCCCAAGCAGGGATCCTCTACGCTGTAAGAGCAGAGCCCAATGTGGGACTTGATCTCATGGTTCATGAGGTCATGACCTGAGCCAAAATCAAGAGTTGGACGCTTAATCCACTGAGTCACTCAGGCACCCCAAATCATTTACCCTTTCTGAGTTTCAGTTTCCTTTCGGTTAAATGAAAGAATTTTATATTTTTGTTTTATGCTTTTAGGGAGAAAGATAATGTATTTGAAGTACCTAAAATGGACCTGCCATGTAGTGGTTCCTTGATACATGTTCAATCCATCATTCTCTATTATTTTCCTTCTCTCTTTCCCCTCTTCTCTACTGCAAAGGATGAGGCAAAAGTGACCAGCTTTGGAGCATTCAAGGTCCAAATACACTTGTCACCACCTGTCCTGTCACACTTGCTCTAAATTAGTGGTTGTCACCTTAGGTTATACATTAGAGTCACCTGGAAAGCTCTTAAAGCTCCTGATGCCCAGCTGCACCCTAAACTAAGTCAGAGTCTAAGATAGGGACTCGGGCAGTACTTTTATAATCCTCTGGGTGATTCCAATGTATAGTCAAAGTTGACAACTCCCTAAATTCCTCAATTCTTTTGGCATTTGATACACACGTTAGTGGTAAATTATGTTGTTAACATTTTCCAAGTTTTGGGTTGTTTCTGTATTAACCATGTCTTTTGCTTTATGTATTCTGATGCTTTGAAATCTGGGGCTTTGTTGACGCTGGAGAGACCACCTCCCCCAGGTGTAGCCAGTTCCTAGAAATGTTAAACAATTGCCCTGCAAGAGTGCTTTTCAAAAACAAACCAACCAATTCAGAGCCCACCCCTCCAATCACTTCCTTTGTTGGGCTTTCACACTCTGAAAGTAGTAGGTAGATAGATAGTAGCTACGTAGATAGATAAGTAGGTAGATAGATGTATATCTATCTACCTACACCCCAGGGCCAGGTACCAGACAGCTACGGAGAGCGCCTATGTCTTAAATATGCTAACATTATTCAAACTAGTCAATCCTAAACCTGCTTACCCAGCCTCACCTGTTTCTTCCTGGAGGAACTGCAATAAAGCCTCTCGCCCACAGTGTCTCTACCTCCCTGCCTCCTCACGGACGCCTTCCTGGTGTGGGGTTTCTTGACGGGTGTGCCCTCCCCGCTGCTTGGGAACGTGAGTAACACGCTCTTTTCAATGGCAATCGCCTCCCGATCTGGTGGTCTTACTATGCAGCCAAGTTTCTATTAATCCCCATCTTTGTAAGTTCCTTCTGTCAAGTGGACTACAAGCACTTTGAGGGAAGGGACTACATTTCACATTTTCTTTGTGTTCTCATAGTTCTGAATTGAGTGTGGTTAGTGTTGGCTTTTCGATAAATCTTTGTTACAGGATTCAATTTAGGACCTATGGATATAGAATATTGTGTTAAATTGAAAAGTATTCACTGGAAAAGCCCAAATATTTACCTAACGTGAATTGCAATCCATGTTAGTTCTTCAGGAAAATTGGTACAGGGCAACGTGAGAGACTAATATTAGGAGTTTCTAATGAACTCTGTCTAGTTCTTTCCTTTGTATCTCTTATTCATGTTCTCTTAAAAAACAAAAACACCTAGGCTCATGATTTGATGTTTTCAATAGCCTTTTAAAAACAGGTTCTCACTTGCTTTGAAAACCAATATATCCATGAGGCCGAGAACAGGTTAAAACCTGGTCACCTTATTAATACATTTAGTGGGGGCCAAGATCAGGTTAGGACTTGGTCACCTCATTATTACCTTGTTGAGGCACCTCCAATTTAGTAGCCAAGCAAGGTATTAATGAGGTGGCTGAGTTCTAATCCACTTTTGGCTCTAGGAAAGGCACAGCGTGTAAGGCAGGTTAGGACATGTTGTGAAAAATCCCCATTAGATATCAGTAATGCAACTTAACTATAAAAATAGTATGGTCGCAAGATTATTAAAAATAATAATGCGTTCTTACCATACCAAAACCTAGCATTGTCCTAGAAATGTCATTTCATACCCAGAACAAATCTGTATGGAAGATTCTATCGTTATTTGGAAGTGAGGAAATTAAAACTCTGAGAGGTTAAGTAACCTATCTAAGGTCACACAGCGAATTATTGGGAGAAACTGTCTGCCTTTTAAAACTGTCTGCAGTCACGCCCCATTCTCCCCTCGCCAGCCTTGGCTTATTTGGAGAACACTCCCCAGGTGATTTTGATGCACAGCTGGACATGAAAAGTAATGAACTTTGGCAGTATTTTATAAACTGTGGGTCATGATGCACTTGTATGTAATGGAGTCAATTTGGTGGTGTGCAAAAACCACATAAAATTAAACAATATAAAATGGAAACTATCAGTGCATCACATGTAGTAAAGGTATATATTTTTCAAGAAGCTCTTGCTACAGTTTTCTATGTATACTGGCTCTGGATGAAAGTGGATTTCTTGCTGTGCTTATGGGTTCAAAAGCATTTGAAAGCTAGTCTAGGGATTATGAATTAGCACTACAGGCCAAAGACCAGACGGTAACTCTCTTGGAGGAGAGCCGCGTATTATTGGAACCAACTACCTAACCGATTTCTTGTTGGAGAATCTTTGAAGGGAGGTGAGGGGGCAATTAAGAGCTGTAGGAATGGGATGGGGCAGGCTTCTGGGATAGAAACTGCTCTGTAAGAAGAGAATGCCTCCCTTATTTGTCCTTCAAATGTAGAAAGCCTCATGGTTCTTGTGGTTACGTTTCTCTACTTATTAGGCTAGAGGGTTTTCAGCTAACATGGCTCATGCAGAGACATGTGACTTTGATTCTTACATGATAAACCCGAGATAGTCTGAATAAAGCTGGCTTGCTAGGAGTTAGGCTCGAATCTTCGCATGGCAGCAGACGAGATGTTTCTGTATTTTTGCAGCTGCCCCTGACTCTGGTTTGAACCAAACCACTATCAGCTGCAGACCTCACACCACTGTAGTTTTTAATACTAATAAAACAAATGTGGTTTAAGAAGATGGGAAAAATAAGTTTTACCAAATGTTGCAGTTTTGTTTTTTCTGAATAATATTTCCTGGTACTTTGGGAAGTTGGTTTCACTTTGAGCTTTAACTTCAGGGAGTTTCTCTGAATTATTCCCATTTACAAGTTGACGAAGCTGAACTAGTATAACCTGAGGTACGAGCGCGCACTGTCAAAATTGAGGTTTAACAAGGTAGCTGTTACTTTAAAACCAAACAAAACAAATGCCAAACGCCGTGTATTTACTTCTTGGAAGAAAGAACATTAAAAGAATGAAAAGTAATGTTGAGTAAATATTGCTGTCGGTGTTTTCCCGGAGGCTGTGTTGCAAATCCTATAAACATGTTGCCCAACACTTGCTCATCTTGCCAAAACCCCTTTTCCAACAAGGTGCATACACATGCCCCCAAGACTGCCTACACACGTCCATTCTGACCTGAGTGGTTTATAAGTGCTTGTGACTGGAGCACTTCATGTTGCCCTAGCAATGTTCCTGCTTGCAAACGAGGTAGCCATCAAGCTGAAGTTTTCAAGTAGAATCACAATAGGCAACATAGGGCATCTTCTTCTCCTGTCTGGAAAATTGTTACTAACCTCCGACATTAGGTTACGGATTATAGAGGTAAATATTAGCCTGATCTCTTTCCAAACTCTTCCCTGACCCCACCGCAGACGACCTCATGCAATCACTGAAGTTCATGAAGTTATTTATTCCATTCAAAATGTTTCACAGTCTGCTAAGTGAACATGTAGTCATTGAAGTTTTATGTAAAGACCTGTTTATATAGTGTTCCAGAAATACTCACACACAATTGCGCACAAGTAGAGTAGAGTTAAACCACTTCCAGGGTGTTTCTGGTCTTGCTCAGCGGCTGATAAAGTCCCCAGAAGTACCTAATAAATAGGCCAGTAATTTTTGGTTACAAGAAAATAGATTAAAATCCTTATATACTAATAAATTGTGAAGGTTTTTTAGCTTTTTTCTCTTCTCCGCTTTTGATGTAAACATTCATAAGTCCCGAATCGATAAAACCTTTAAAAATAATTCCTTTATTACTAAAAAAAAAAAAAAAATTAAAACTTACCAAGATTTCTAACTTCTGTCAAAGTTTCATGTCAAAATAGAACAATAATAATGAAAACGGTTAAACGACTGGCATGTCCGTGTGTTGGGGGGGTTTGACACAATTTGGATCTTCTGCTGTAGTTGCCACTGTCAGTGTTTTATATGGAATTAGATGCCAGTATGAAAAAGAGTAGAATAAGCTTGCTACTTCTCAGGGCTGGTTATTACAAAGCTGTGAGCCCCCCCTTTTTTCTTTTTTCTTTTCTTTTTTTTTTTTTTTTTGAGAGAGGGCGCGAGTGACGGACAGAGAGAGAGGGAGAGAGAGAATCCCAGAGGGGCAGAGAGTGGGGGTGGGGAGAAGTTGGGCTCACCCCAGGCGCGGGCCCGGACTCACAAACCCGAGAGATCTTGACCTGTGCTGAAATCGGATGCTTAACTGACTGAGCCACCCAGGGGCCCCCAACAATTCATGCGTTTGAAGTGTGGTCAGCTCAGGTATTGACGAATGATCTTGTTGAGTGTACCAACCAAATTGATTGTGCCAGAAGTTTTAATTAAATTGAATACACTCAGATAAAAATCCTTTTATAGATGGAGCAGCTGGGTGGCTCAGTTGGATAAGCGACCGACTTCGGCTCAGGTCATGGTCTCACGGTTTGTGGCCCCAAGGCCTGCACTGGGCCCTGTGCTGACAGCTCAGAGCCTGGAGCCTGCTTCCAACTCTGTGTCTCCCTCTCTCTCTGCCTCTCTCCTGCTCGTTGTCTGTGTGTGTGTGTGTGTGTGTGTGTGTGTCTGTGTGTGTCTCTGTGTGTATCTCTGTGTGTGTGTGTCTGTGTGTGTGTCTCTGTCTCTGCGCGCGTGTCTCTGTGCGCGTGTCTCCTCTGTCTCTCAAAAATAAACATTAAAAAATTACAAAAAAACTTTTACAATGTATATATTCCCTATACCAACACTACCCACAATGCAATGTGTCCATTTAAGCTTTATAAAATCTTTATTTGTTGCGATTTTAATGTATACTTTTTCTCTATACCAGAAATACAGATGCAAGCATTAAACTAGAATATATGTGCTGTTAGTATTTTTTTATTAAGTTTTATTTCTAAGACAAAACAACTCTCAGTATATCACGAATCCAAGACAAAAGAAAGAAATCAAGTGATGCATCCATGGCCTAATTATGGAATAAAAACTGCCAATAGTGACAAGGTTCTACTGAATTTGCTACCCCATCGTAAAATTTATTCGTGAATGTTGTTCCCAGTATCTGTATTCCATGCAAAACTCTGAAATAGTACTTATCACACAGGATTGTGGTTGCTTATTTGCTTGGTTTCCTACAGTTCTTGAGAGAGAACCGTCTTCTATGCCAGTGGCTGGGTATATATTATATATATTATATACCAGTGGCTAACTCAATTAGCAGGGTTTTGGTTTTTTTTTTTTTAACGTTTATTTATTTTTGAGACAGAGACAGCATGAACGGGGGAGGGTCAGAGAGAGAGGGAGACACAGAATCGGAAGCAGGCTCCAGGCTCTGGGCCATCATCAGCCCAGAGCCCGATGCGGGGCTCGAACTCACGGACCGTGAGATCGTGACCTGAGCCGAAGACGGACACTCAACCAACTGAGCCACCCAGGCGCCCTGCAGGGTTTTTTTTTTTTAATTGAGGAGCTCAAACTAACACACCCTTATATATACACATGTATATATAAGTGTGTATATAAGTCCATTACACACAGAAGTATATAATGCCATCCCAGTCACCAATGAGTTTTCCCATTGAAGGCATTGTCCCACCAGAAGTGTATGTGGGTTCCTTTTTTAACAAGAAAAATTGCCAGCAATATCAAGGTGTGCAGGAGTACAGGAAGTCCCTTTGGGATTGCTGAGGGCAGTGTCCTTTTGGAGGAGATTTCTAATAGCTCTGGCTATGAGGAGTGGCCCCAGTGGAAAGCATGTGGTTGCCAGAAAGAAATGATGTATGAGGATTCTAGGTTCATGCAGTGGTAGCTGCTGGGAAACTTGAAGTAAAAGAGATGAATGCCTAAAGCTGCACCCACAGAAGCTCATGCATGGGTAGGGCACCCTTTACCAGATTACCAAGGAAATGGAATCTTCCTTCACAGTAGTGGACAAGTACTATCTCTCGGGATATTTAGAAGAATAAAAAGCCCATGGCACTAAGAAAAGATAAAATGGAGTGAGCCCTTTCAATAGTCCCTAGAATTTTTAGACAAGTGTGTAGGAAATTGGACTTTGTGCTAATAAGATGTGTAAGGATCAAAGAAATTTACAAATAAAAGATCTATGATTATGTTTGTAACTAAAGGTATGAAGCTATTGTGGATAAGTGTGTGTGTATTTAGCTACCAATAGTCAGAAATATATAAAAACTCTACTGCATGACTGAGAATTTCACTTGAAGAGAAGGGTAGTTGTAAAACTGTCACATTTGTAAAGAAAAAAACACTTTATGGATGGCTAAAATAGAGATTTTTTTAAAATATTGGAGTCTTCCCTTCTATAAGAATTACTGACTCATCATTCAACCACTTGTGATTTATTTATTTATTTATTTATTTATTCATTGTCAAAGCAGACAGTGTATTAGGGAGGAAGCCTGTAGTCTGCTGGGACTCTTCATTCCCTGGGACGGAAGGGAGTTAAGGAGTTTGTACTCCTCAATACATTTGACGTTCCAAGAAATCTTATAACAAAAGAGGAAGCAATTAATCTATGAAAGTTTTTTTTTATAAAAGAGAAAGCGCTAATACTTTGAGGGGAAAGAAAAGTTGTCAGGATCAACAGTAAATGCTCTGTGGATGAAAGGCACCTGCACAGCAACGAGGAGCAAATGGGGAGAATGGGGAACAGTGGTCAAAGAGGAGCACTCAGGTCACTGCCGGAGACCCAGGAAGGGTCTGAGGCAGGACAGGGGCAGCAAATACCCTTGATACTCACCCCAAAGGAGGGAACTGGGGGATACTGTCAACAGAATAGAACATTATCACAATGGACAACTGTTGACTAGGAACAGCCAAGGTAGACAGAGAGGTTTACATCCAGGAGTAAAACATTCTTGTGACTTGTCCCCATTTTCACTCTCCAATTCTGTCTTGTGAAAGGAGATATAAGGGGGACCATGTTCAATAACAGGTTCCAAAAAATTTCAGAGAAGGTGAATTATTTACAAAAACTGAGTGTTTACTGGGGCATATCCCTCTAAGCCACACAGTGGCAGTCCTAGGCACAGAGCACACACTCAGTCAAGAGCATTTGAATTGAACCAACAGATGACTGAATATTGAGTTGCCTACTAAAATGAAGAATGAGCTAAGGTCAAATCCCAGCTCTGTCCACTATACGGACCATGCACTTCCAAAATATTTTCATCCTTCACCCTCATGGTAAAAAAGTACTTGTTTTTGTCTTTCAACCAAAATTTATGGCAGATAAAGATCAATGCTATGATTATTATTATATCCATTACCTTGCACAATGTTACAGTTACATAATAGCTATGCAATAAATACTTGAGTTTATTAAGATTAATAAATTGTTTATTCCTGTCTCCTAGTTTTGCCTCCGTTGCTGTGGGATGATGTAAAGTGACTCAAGTTTGATGTATTTAGAGTAATAGTGACTTGCAGGATTTATTTATTTTTTTGTCTGAAAATGTCTTTATGTTAGAAGCCTTCGTGGAAAAAAAAATCAGTTTAATTGAGCTGTAACTCATACACAATAAAATGAAACACTTAAAAAATCTACATTTCAGTACATTTTGACAAATACATACAGGTATATAGCCAGTGCCACAGTCATGATATAAAGCATTTCTAGCACTGTAAAGTTCCCTTATGCCCCTTGGTAGTTAACTCCTTCCCCCAGTTCTTGGCTCTGGAAACTACTTCTCTACTTCTGTCACTAGAATGTGATGTAAGTAAAATCATACAGTATATACTTCCATTTATTACAATTGTTTTGAGATTTATTGTTGCGTGTATCAGCAGTTCTTTATTGCTGACTATTTGATTTTATGGATATACCGTGATTTGTTTATCCAACAGTTGATAGACATTTTTCATTTTGGCTATTATGAGTAACCTGTTAGAAACATTGGAGTTTATTTTAGTGTAAGCATAGGTTTTCATCTGTCTGTGACAAATACCTAGGAGTTGGATTAACAGGTCATATTGTAGGTGAATATCCAATGTTATAAGAAACTGCCAATCTGTTTTCCGAATGGACTATATACATACCGTTTTGTGTTTCCCCCAGCAATGTGTGAGAGTTCCTGGAATGCTTATCCATTTTTTTTTTTTAATTTATATATGAAATTTATTGTCAAATTGGTTTCCATACAACACCCAGTGCTCATCCCAAAAGGTGCCCTCCTCAATACCCATCACCCACCCTCTCCTCCCTCCCACCCCCCATCAACCCTCAGTTTGCTCTCAGTTCTCAACAGTCTCTTATGCTTTGGCTCTCTCCCACTCTAACCTCTTTTTTTTTTTTTTTCCTTCCCCTCCCCCATGGGTTCCTGTTAAGTTTCTCAGGATCCACATAAGAGTGAAACCATATGGTATCTGTCTTTCTCTGTACTCTGTATGGCTTATTTCACTTAGCATCACACTCTCCAGTTCCATCCACGTTGCTACAAAAGGCCATATTTCATTTTTTCTCATTGCCACGTAGTATTCCATAGTGTATATAAACCACAATTTCTTTATCCATTCATCAGTTGATGGACATTTAGGCTCTTTCCATAATTTGGCTATTGTTGAGAGTGCTGCTATGAACATTGGGGTACAAGTGCCCCTATGCATCAGTACTCCTGTGTCCCTTGGATAAATTCCTAGCAGTGCTATTGCTGGGTCATAGGGTAGGTCTATTTTTAATTTTCTGAGGAACCTCCACACTGCTTTCCAGAGCGGCTGCACCAGTTTGCATTCCCACCAACAGTGCAAGAGGGTTCCCGTTTCTCCACATCCTCTCCAGCATCTAGAGTCTCCTGATTTGTTCATTTTGGCCACTCTGACTGGCGTGAGGTGATACCTGAGTGTGGTTTTGATTTGTATTTCCCTGATAAGGAGCGACGCTGAACATCTTTTCATGTGCCTGTTGGCCATCCGGATGTCTTCTTTAGAGAAGTGTCTATTCATGTTTTCTGCCCATTTCTTCACTGGGTTATTTGCTTTTCGGGTGTGGAGTTTGGTGAGCTCTTT